GATGCGATGACGGGGAGACTGTCGGAGCGATTTCGCGATGACGGACCGATTGAGTGCGAATCGCTTCCACTGTGAGGTGCTCTGACGACGATCTATGAACGAAATTTGCAAGGTCAACATTACTGCTCGTGAACTTGTTGCCTCCGAAACCGGTTTGCAATCACTTTGCGGGCTAATCAGTTCCGGTTTCCTTTTTTCCTTCACCGTACATACGAATACCAAGATATTTTCAGCAAGGCTGACCTACCATCGTATTTACAGTGTCACGGTAATCAAGCAAATCCGGCTCAATATGGACAATTAGCATCAGCACCGCCAACGCGGTTCGTGGATGAATTCCAGCCCAGGTTTTCAAGCCTTCCCTTGCTTCGCCGCTGGCCTACTTGAACCAGGTTATCTATTTATAACCATTTTGTCCAACATTCATCTTCATACATTCATCTTAGTGAATAAAAGTGTTGAAAATAAATGCTGAATGGGCTTCGCAATCGAATGCATACGCTAGATACAGAACCGGAAATACAAAGAGCGAATAAGTGCGAAATGCGCGGCGCATTCTCAAGAATCTCGGCGGCGCTTGCGCTTTTTTCACATATTCATGAAGCCATCTATCTGGGCGAACCTATTCAGAAATAAAGGTGGTACCGGTAGAAAGACGCAATAGAATAGGTAGAAAAATCGTTAAAAAAAACAAGTGAGTAAAAATCAAAAGGACCTGTGGAGCTGTCGTAGGTGAAGAACGCCGTTCAAACTGATCATTCTCCTTTCTCACATTCATCAAATCAAAATGATGGTTGCTTTCCCATCCGAAACGAGCCAACGCCTCCGCTCCTGAAAAACAACTTCGAAATATCGTTTTTAACCTAATCATTAGTCATTCAAAAATTCGAATTTTTCATGAGACAACAAAACCATTCATCCACCGCTCTATTCAGGCCTTAACGCACCCATCTTGAACGAGAAAATTACCAATATCTGTTGTAAATTGTTACTACTCATTAACACATTCACGCCGATGGCAGCCCATATGGACTGCCACCTGACATTTGTCGTAACCTTTTTTTGCACTTTTTTGCAATTTGCATTTTTGATATCAGAATAATTAATGTGTGGTATTATCCATTACTGTAGGTACCTTGGGCTCACTACACAAAAATGCGCGAAATGGCGTGATGAGGCGGCGGCGAAATACGCCGCCCGCCCCCACAAAAAAAAGGCAAAAGTGCCCTTCGTCAAGGGGTTAACAAAAATGTATAACTGACAGCCACTACTTATCAAGAAAATCAAAATATCGATTGGATCAGTCCCATTACTGATGAAACCCGTACTTATCTCAGACGTAAACATATTCAGGCGCGCTATAGCAAGGCACATCTTCATCTCCCTGAGGTTCCTGCCCCTGCTAGGCTTAGTCGTACAGGATGCCCCCGTCTCTTGCGACAGCGCCTATGGTCAAATTGAATTTGACTTATGGACTAAGTTTTGAAAGTGAATATGGCTGGCCGAAATAACCAAAAAATATAGAAAAAATATAATCATATAAATTCTATACGAATATGTATGTACATATTATGTATATTGTATAATAAATGGAAGAATTCACCATAACAGTGATGAGCTCAGGACGTTGATGGCCCAGAAAGCATAACCACGAACGCTAAGCACTGCAGCTTCCTCGGCCATTCGAATCATCTGCGGAACGACGCCAATCGGAAACAGTTGGAACCCTAAAAACACATTACTGATCAGCCGAATATACTTACTAGAAGTAGCCTATATACCTTCGTTGATACTCCCAATGTGACCTAATGCCATCAAAGCTGCCTTTACTTTCATTGGTTCTTGTTCGTTTGATAGGGCGTCAACAAGGGTGTCGATTACTTTGAGCTCAATGATGAGTTCTCTACCAAACTCGTGGCACGACACATGATGATCTCCAAAAAGTGTGGGCCGGACGCGGACACCGTAAGCTCTCTTGCTCCTGACAACCGTTGTTTCGACAAACGAGTGATGTCCCATCATTGCCCCAAAAGCACACACAAATCTACATGAGATGCCTTTTCGCCCCAGGATTCTAATTCTCTCTACCAAAAAACAACTATCACATAAGCAACGACTCATGCCAAAGATACAGGTCTATCCATAAATGAGCCACGAAATATATCATACTTTAAGTAAGTAGAAAAAAACCTTTTAGTTAAGTACTAATGATGATAGTCGCTAAAACAGGGTGTTTGTATCTTCCACAAAAAACGCCGCATAACGAAATACATCCTGCAGGAACGCCACCAAGTTTTTGAACAGAACATGAAATATCGCCAAAAGGACCAAGGGCACATCGATATAATTCCTCCTGAGTTGCGCCATGTACTAGGCTCTCATTAAAATTTATGTCGACATATGTAAAAACGCATCGTTTATAAAATAACGCTTGTGAGTCAGCCATTAGACGAGCAAGTGTCTTTACCCCTCACACTATGCTGGTACCGATTTTTCGATCCTAGATAGATGAGGGCTCTGCTGGCCCGATCATAATTCGATCTGTTGAACGGTGAATGCGCATCTTGCCGCTGCTTCACCCTTACCAACCATTAAACGCCACAAACCAGCCACTGATGCTTCTTCTCATTTTTGAAATGTTCCAATAAAGTACAACTCCTTCCAAAATAACTGAGCGCAGCCTTTCCCGCCGGCACCTTACATTTTGACCTGTCTCAAAAAATACAATTGTTCTTTCATTTGAGCGAGGTCTCATCCCCAGAAAAAATAAGCACCAAATAGCTGGTACGCCAAATGGCCGGTATACCAAGCGAAGTTGCTTCGGACAGCCCCGTCCATGTCCCAGTACGACGTTCATTCATGAACGCTCTGCTATGCACTTGCCGATCGCGAGAAACACTTCAATTAGTGAGACACAGGTGAAAAATACCACTACTCACCGTTCTCCACTTGTTCTTGAGAATGTCCCACTGATGGTTCGACGTACAGACAGAAGGGAATCCCTCACCTCATCGTCTATCGCTTCGATATATCTCACATTGAATGACTAAACGAATTCTAATGATTTTGCACTGGTTGGTAGCATGTAACTTAGTTCCATTACTCTTACCTCCATCCACAATGCAACTGCTTCACGGGTTCCTTCATCATCAAGAGTACATAAATGCTCATCTGCATAGATGTGTACCTTTAACAAAGTGCCAGCTTCTCCAAAGCTGTCCAACTGTGCCGTTCGAAGCCATCGAGCGGCATCTTGGTATACCTGCAACCATGTTCTTTGTCAGTTTTTATGAATTTACACAATGCCAACACCACCAATAATTGTAGTGAACCTGCAAATACTATCGGATCCATAAAAACAAGGGTGGTAATTTGGGATGAGCCTAATGTTTAAAAACAGGAGGAAGGCAAACCAGCCCTTTTGGGGCCGTGAATGTTGGGGAGGGGATGGGGTCCCCTGAGGTCGACGGACTACTTCAACTCGGTTGGTACGTAGGAGAGTGATGACGCAAGTGGTGCAGCTGGTCCAGCAGCTCCGCCAAAAGGGCTGGTTTGCTTACCCCAGGAAAAACCCTTAGAGAGGGACAAATAAGCTTTCTGTGAAAGAAAGGCAATTACGCCTAGACGGCTATGAATGATATGGCCCCAAGGCAGCAATGAAACGTGTCACCTCCGCTGCGGAAACCCACCGCCGTTTCTTAAACGTCCCGTCCTTTACGCGCTCGCCTTTTAGAAAACCCAATGCCTACCACAGCTGTTCAACGTGCCCTCCGCTTCGAACTTTAGCGTTTTAGGCCAACGATGTTGATCGACGTCCATGGCCGCATGACCCTCGTCCAGCCGCGAATATCGATCTTGGAAAACAAGGGTCCCAGATCACGTTTACCGGATGCGGTTCCCTACAGTTTATCCACTGCTTCCAGCCCTTAGCACGCAACCTTTATTCCTAGCGGAGGACCACCAGGGGCTATCACAACATACGGCGCATTGATATGGCAACGCATATAAAACCGCAAAAACATCTCTTTTTTTTACAAGTAAGCACCGTAGGCCAGCGGGGTGAGACGATGCCAAGGGTTCGTGAGCCCCGGGCCCGAAGTTTTCTCGCGCTCTATCGCTAGCCTAGTTCCTGCAACTGCCGCGCCTGTAATATTGCGATAGCGCCTCGTGACATGACTTTGCGATCAAGGCACTTTTATACTAAGCGATAATGGTAGAGAAAAATTCCAGTCTCTCAAAGCTTACTGGTGTGAGCTTATTGAATCCCGAGGTAACAATTCGCTGACGCATGACGCAGTCGTAGAACGTCGCTTCTGGCAGAATAATTCTGGATTTGACGCAGATCAACTGTCCTACCCTTAAATTTCCAGGTCCATTACCTCTTTCGCTCTTTAATACCTCTCACCCCCTCACATTTCATTCCAAGCCAGTATTGACGTTTGAAACTGATTCGGGCCAGCAACCTAAATTAAATCTAACCATATTTCTGGAGAGGCAGCCAAATATATGCGCATTCGAAAAAAAAAGCTCACACTAAGGCCCCAAGGAACATGAATTAATTTCTTGAACTTCTGAAACTGATTTCAATCTCAACATATTGATTTTGGTTTTTAAATACTTTACAACCAAATTAATTCATAATAATTTGAACCAGAAATTGGATGAATTTTTTGGCGACGAGCTTTCCAAGTAAACCACATCCGATAAAGTGACGCAAAAGAGTGTCCCCCAACGAGGCCCATCGCCGCGCGAAAGGAAGAGACACGCAGAGCGGCAGTGACGAAGCCCACCACGCGTGCTGTGGCGACATGATACCGGTAGTAATGGTATCACTCGATTTGACCTCACGCCTAAACAGACTACGCCAGCCACTATCGGTGCCGATCGACCGTCCCTTTGCCGCGTCTGCGTCTCTTCCTTCGCCGCGCGATGGGCCTCTTGGGAGACACGCGATGCCAAAGCAATATGGATGGTATGGGGTATCCGTGAAACAGCACACACCGGGTGAAAGACTGCAGAGTGAAATCTAAAACAACAAAATATACATAGAAATTAAAACAAAAACATATAAACAAGCCTAGGCCAATAACATAAATCTATAACAATAATAATATTATAATAGATATTATATGATATTCTAATAATAAGTATAATAATAATATTATAATAAACAAATAGATATCACATAAACCTATCTAACCCTGCTGAATATGCTGAGTAACGAAAAAGCCTTAAACAGCTACAAAACAACTGCCCATCCACCTCTGGGCTTTCCTGATATTGCAAAAGGTAGGTAAAAAGACAAAAAAAAAGTAGATTCAAGGCTAAAAATGCTCACCGGTAACCAGGTGTGCAAAACTCGAATTGCATGGCGGATAACCTTCACTGACTGATCACCCAATTGTCCTAACAGAAGGCGAATCTCCCAATTCCGAAAAATTCGCAACGCGTGTCGAGTAGGCCAAGGTGGACAGAAAGCGAGTACACCAACGTCGAGCAGACTGTAAACACACTTTGAAACATTTGGAACCGTACAGTATTCTTATTAGAAAGTATTGGTAAAATCAGCTATATCACATTAAACTACTATTTAATAATTGCAACTACAAGACGCTGTTATCCATTCTACCTACAAACTGAACGCAAGCCTACCATTACAAACTGAAAAGCAAGCTATTCCATGGCAAGGCAAAAGGCAAGGCAGGGAGCAAAGCCATCTTGCAATAAGTACTAACAATGTGACGATTTGCGGATCTATCGACACACTTCCTCATCACTCTTTGTGCCCCAGTCAGCACCCTTTATTTACCGTACCCACCAAATTTCGAAAAATGAGACGTGCAGGAAGGAAGGACTTGATCTTTCTGAATTTTCATAAGATCTTATCTCAGATTCCACTCAAAACTGAAATGCGTATCTGGGATACATAGCGACAAGCACAAAACAAGTAAAACCCTATTTTTCTAGCTTTTAAGGGCGATTGTGATACGTGTCGAAGAATCTCCTCTTAGGAAAAAGAAGCCTGACTGGTCTGGACTGCTTCAAACTTAATGACGTCTTGGTTTTGATCTATCTTTTATAGCAGAGAAGAAATGCGTAGTAGATAAGAGGAGGACGGCTCTATTCGATGATCTTCATGTCGCTAGCACTCCTTGTTTTCCGTGGCCAGCATTCTCAATCCAACCTCTGCTGCACAAGAGGCTGAGACCCTATACGGGTAACGGCCCATGGCTGGCACCTGTTATTAATCCCTCTGTCCTCCTTAAATTATTTCCATGAATGGACAAATTTTCCTCGCGTACTGTCACTTACTTTCTTCCTACATCGATTGCAAAGCAATTGTCGGCAGAAAACAAGGCAGTCTGGAGCGACGTCTAGCAAGGAGTAGTAATGAATGTTGTCGCACCGGTGATACAGACCTCGGAAATTTTGGTGTGTGCAATTATCACCGCCACAATCAGAGTCGATTCAGAGGGTTCACCTCATCATCATCTTCTGATTTAAAGTCGATCTCTGAGGGAATCAGCTCAACGCCGCTGAAGAAACAAATAGGAATCCCCAACTAATACCGATCGCCAGCTGCGTTTTCTCCAGAGTGTCGACTCAACAGAAAGGTCTTTCCATTCACATGCAGCCATGTGCGCCTTGAGCCTTCCCGCCCTCAAACCATTCCTTACGCCTGCGTCGGCCTCATCATTTAACCATAAGCCTGTTCCTCAGTCCAATGTGGCTTTCGCTCGGGTGGTATCCATGAAGATTACCACTGACGCACGCCTGAACTAGTTATGGCCGCACTTCATACGAAGTCTGGCCTAATGCGAAATTTCTCATTGCACACAGAACGCATCTCTAACTACTGGCCTTCACACCATCATCCATTCGCATCGTAGTACCCCTCTTCTTTCACGCTGAAAAATTTCTTCGGAAAAAATCTTCCTTACCTCTCTTGCAAATCTCCTCGCTCCTACAAAATATCTCTCAGCACCACTCCTTATGCAGCTTAACCTACTGAAAATGGGGCAGTGTACCTAGTAGTCAAATCCATTCCAGAACACTCATTCATCCAGAACATGCAAACCGTACTTTCCTCCAGAGCCACCAAAGGTAGTAGAATACTCAGCAAGAGGAGGTGTGATTGTGAGAGTTGTACAAGCACTACTCGTACAAGGGTTTCTACAATTTTGAATGAATGACAAATTTCTGACGCAATGCCGAAGAATTGGTCAGGACCCGCACGCCAGGGCAACGGACCACTGTGCACCTAACATCCGAACGTAGTACTTCCGTTTGAACTCTCCCGCACCACTTTCAACAATTATTTTCTGTCAATAAGGTCCATAGGAGAAATCCCTGTGTGATTGAACATTCCTTTCGATCGCTTCAAACCTTAGTATTCGTCATTGAACCTCAAGACTGATCTAACATACATAGCAAAAGATGAAGAACTGTCGGCCGAGGCTGTTCGGTATGCGCCACGCATTTGGGTTCCATTCCAGTTTCGTTTGGCTTGATTGTCCTTATCACATGCCCTCTATCTCAACCTACGGCATTCCACAAGATTTCTGAGGCCAGTCGGTCCTTCCTATACTATTGTTACTTACTGTCTTCATAATTGCAGAAACATCTGCACCGGAGAAATTGTGTCTGGCTTGTTTGGCTGGACAAGGTACGAGCTGAATTCGATATTGTTAGGGTAGGGAATACCTAACATCCGAAAATTCAGTTTCGGATTCTGGTATATGCCATAGTCGTCAAGAGTGGCGTTATCACTAGCGCCATCCGCCTACCAAGAATCTTACAAGGATGATTTTGTATTTAGTCTAATAACAACTCGGCTGAAAAAAGTTCGACTTTCCTCTCCTTCGTTCATGTGGTGGTTTTTTTTTCATTCGCGTTAAGGTCGATCAAGCTTTTTTCTTTATAAGCTATACTCTGCTGTATTCGGAATAGCGCACCTACGCGTGCATCTAATAAATAAATAAATAAATAAATAAATAAAGGACCATGCCATTTACCACAGCACCAACTTCACCACCCACCTCCCATTCCTGCCAACCTATGTTCTACGCGAAGTCGTAAAATCTATAGCTCTCTCTATGGAATTTTTCGCAATGTCTCAAGTAAAGGGGTTCAGAGCTATCTGTACTTCTCAAACAAAACCCTAGTATTGTAAAGTTTATCCCAAGCAGCGCTAGCGACCACGCAAATCGTATTGCTAGCATTTATTAACGACTTCCCGAAAGCTTTATCCGTGCAGTGTGAACTCGTTTTCACACCAGTTATGATCATGCACACCGGGATAAACATTTACGCTTAAAAAAACTGGTCGACCCATTTTCTGACCACTATTGCTATAGTCACTCACCTCACATGTGGACGTCAACGCTTTTTGTAGTATCACCTTGGAGAGATAGCAGTGATCAAACTCGTAGTCCAGACATGACACAATTAACTTCACATAGGCCGCATTTGTGGATGGGACCATAAAATCGAGGAATCTGTAATGGGAACAGGAAGTAGAACCAGAAAAAAGCGACAAAGGAAATTCTGGTACCGCCCCATTCCGACCGACGCACATCACTTTCACTAGACCGCAAAGTTCACGTTTAAATTCACCGCATTTTTTCTTTTGATTTTCCCTAACCCTCAATTGCATCGCATTTTTTTCAAATGGGAAACCTTTTGAACAAGCATTCCTTTCGTCAACGCTCTTTTGAATTTCATTGGTGCGCGTAATCCGGTTTTTGTGAAAGAAAAGATAGAAAGCCACCACAAAACACCGATCCACAGCGGGGAACGACGGTGAATGACCGTGTACGGACGGGATCACGTCACAAACTCTTCTCTAGCCCCGATTCGACAGGATCGTAGAATGACTGGACGTTTTCCCATACAGACACACACACACCACTGACCCATTTCATCGCTATGCACCAGCCTTCATCACAGCCCGTCTATGCAACTGTTGTGGGTGTTTGTGCACGGGCTTTTTCCTAAAGACCCTAGTACAATGTGGATTCCGCTGTCGCATAGGCTATTGTAGCCGAGTATTTAAGTAAGGAATTCGCAGAATTTTCAGACTTTAATTCCTCTCATTCATCTCATAACTTGTAAGATTTGTTCTCAGAGTTTTTAGACCAGTTTTCTTCACAGTTCGTTTTTTTTTCTTTTTCTTACACTATTCATCCCAATTTGCCTATTGAAGGCACAACCCAGGCAGAGGTCGTGTGAACGCTTCTCTTCGGTCTGTAGTATAGACCCTAGAGGACAATCACAAATGTGGCGTTCTCGTGCACGGAAACCGACCGACAAGAGCGCTTGGGCCTTGCAAAGTAAGCTGCCCAAGCTGCAGACTTTTTTCTCTTATCAGGCTGTTGTCTGGCGATCTCTCATCTGTAGCTCTCTCGCCCCATACTCTCCTCTCCGCGCTTAGTCTCTCATTCCCTTAGCACAGCCGATTAGGAAGGTGAGTGAGCCCTTAACCTAAGCGTTTTTGACGGATTCTTTCCTTTTTTTCCGCCGACGACTTCTACGATACAATCCACATAGAGCCAAAATGATGTGATTGGCATGCGTTTAATGTTGCTAATGAACTAACATGTTCTCACGATAACAGCACAAAGTGATTAACGTCGGTCTATTTGATTCTGGGGCTCTAAAGTTGTTAGCCAGTAGCAAGTCACATTTTACATCTGGTCGTAAACGCGAAGGAAATGGCCTGCATTGGACAACCCGTTCCACCTGCATCAAGCTCGTGCCTCAAACCCAACTGAGAGAAGGTTTGTAGATAGAGGTGGCCATTTAGGATGAGAACTATAGCCACTACTGCGTCTTTGCACGCTATACTATCCAAATCTCACTTCATTACCTGTTCAATAGCAATGAAAAAGGGTTAAGGTTTTTTATACGCGCAATTTTTCTGCCGAACATTAATGAAAAACAGACACAAATAAGACCTAGAAAAGTTAGAGAATGTTCATCGACGCTCAGTGCAGATCGTTGGACTCCTTTAGGTGGTCAGTGGTTCGAGAATGCAGATGTTTGTATTTTTTGTTTTGTTTTGCATTTCCGCCGACGAACGCCCTCGCATTTTCAAAATCTCGTATGTATCTGGGAAGGAGTGGGGGAGGGTGCGGATGGGGGGGCAGCAGCCAATCTGTCAAAAAATGGGGGTTGGTAGTTCTATAAAATGGTCCGGACTTCAATAGCTGTTCTTCTTCGGCTGACTAGCTCACTCTATATTTGACACCCAAGTAACCAAAGTTAAATTTATTATTACTAATAATTATGCATACTAAAATATTAGGTTGTCTCGGAAATTGTGTGCGTATTTTTGATCTCATGCCACAAGCTCCTTCAACAAATTCAAAATGTGTTCACGTAGGCTGTGGATAGGGCACACGTGTAGTAGCTTATACCCGAATCCTGCCCACCATCGTCGTTCCTCTTCGAGAGTTCAAAGTGGAAAGAGAAAAGAGCTATGTTTTTCGCGCTCTGACTT